CTGTCATCCCCCTCTGTTTAATTGCTTGTCTTTCCTGGTGGATTCTTCTAGTGGCATTTTGGGATTGCAGTTTTCCTTACCATTTTCTAAAATATCCATCACATCGGGGATATAGCTCAGTGCCAAACCACCTGCCTGGGACATGCAGTGTCCTGAGTTTGCTTTGTGGTACGAATCAATCAATCGATCAGTTATCCTTCAGCACATTAGAAGACACAGTTTAGTGGTCATGGCTTTCTTCAGTTGTCTTTTGTCACAGAAGTCTACTATTTCTCTATTGATTTTGGTGGTTAGTGCTGTAGGTACATCAATCTGGATGGGCAGCTGTTTTCTTTCAAGACTTGCAGTGGTTCCCTGCAAGGTCTCCTTGTCCTGAGGGTTTTGTTGAGGAGTCTGCTCTGATGGTGATGGGCTTTCTTTATACAGACCTTGTTTCTTTCCTCCACCAGCTTCTCATATTTTCTTTTCGTGCTGTATTTCTGGAATCTTGACCATGATATGCCCTGGTATAGATTTCTTTTGGTCTTGGCTCTGGAGTTCTGTATATCTCACTTAGCTATACATGTCTAATTCTTTTTCCCTGCTTGGGAACTTTTCTCCAGTACTTGTGTGAATGGCTTTTTGTGTTATTTGTGCTGATTGCTGCTTTTGTTATGCACTCTGACCAACCTCGTGCTGCTCTCCTTTGCCTCCTCTTGCAGCTGTGTGCTGTCTCCTCCTACGTCTCCCTCCGTTTCTCCCTCTTAAACGACTCCTGCTTGGTCCTCGTGACCCATGGTGCCTCAGCTTTGTGAATGGACGCCTCCCACCTGCAGAAGCAATCAGGAGCCCCTGGGGAGCCGTCTGCATGGCCCTGTGGTCCTGGGCTTTCCTGGCACCAGGCTCCTGGGCCTAGAAGGATTCCTAAAGTGAGGTGATTCCCCTGTGAAGGACCAGGCCCGCACATGGTCCCCCATGAGTCTCCTTCGGTCACTGCCCTGATTAGCACTGCAGTGGGTTTGCTTAGCCACCTGAAGAGAACCGAACGAGTGGGTGGGGCTGAGAGGGAAATGTCAGCCTAGACAAGAATGATATCACCAGTCTGCTTTGGGGATCGAAACTTTCAGAAATGGACCCATCCGGGATGGGGTGGGCTCACCGCCATACACTGGGGCAAGGAGTAACGTGCTCAGCACCACAAGAGCTGCTCTAGGTGATGCTATGGCCAGTGATCCACGTAGCCGGGCCAGCACAGAAACCACGGCCCAACCAGGGCAAAGTGACTGTGGCGTGCAGTCTTAGCAAGCACTGTAGCGTGCCGCCACCCTGCAGATGCCTCTGGGACGGCGTGGCCTTGGACCTGGCCTGTCCGGGGCCAAGAGTAAGAGCATTTTGACTTCTCAAGCCTGCAGACAGCTTCGGCAAGTGAGGGGTCGACCGTGGCTTGCAATCAACTAATCCTCTCCAATGTGCCTATGAAATGCTGATGAGTGGGCTGTCTCTAGGGAAGTTTGAGTTTCCTGCAGAAGACGGTAGCCGCGAACGTGGAGTGAGCCCTCGCCCTATCAGTAACCAGCTCAAAGGCTCCCGGAGAGTCGCTGAGCTCATGAGGTTACAGGTTAGGAAGACATATGAAAACAACTGGTGAGGAGGACTCTCTTGGCGCCCTTGCTGGCAAGAGGCCGCTGCCCATCTCAGTGCCGCTGCAAACTGAGCCACCTTCTGTTCTTGGGAACCACAACGGAGTATGGCACCTCATTCCCCACAGGAGCTATGAACTAGAACTTTCTGGAATGGTGGAAATGCAGCCATGGAAGAATGTCTAGGTCTAGAGTGAGTGAAGAAGTAAATGAGTTAAGTAAAATATGACTGAATATAATTAATCAATATAATGAACGTAATAAATTAATTCACAGAATATAATTAAAATACAGCATGACTTCTGGAGGCAGCGTCTACTATGCTAAACTTCCCAATCTAGCTTAGAAAAACTTTATCCTACAGTCTGAACAGATCTCAAACTTTCCTATAGTCTTAAAAATTGATAATTCTTTGGGGATTTTGTTTTGTTTTGTTTTGTTTGCGGGACCGGGGATTGAACTCAGGCCCTTGCGCTTGCCAGCCAAGCGCTTATTCTACTGAGCCATCTCCCCAGCCCATAGGTTTTTTTTTTTTTAACAAATTGATAATTCTAACTTTTATCCTTGTACAATACGCATAATAGAATTGAAATAATTGCTCTGAATGTGCATTGAGGAAACCCGGAGTAGACTGCAACTCAGAAAGGTTACGTCACAGACACAATTTTCTACACATTTATTGGGCGACAAAAGGTATAATGAGATCATCAGTCCGTAACTGGTGAAAGGGCAAATGAAACAAAAGGAATAGGTAGTTCAAACAAAGAAGCAAGACATGTTCAGAGCGGAAAGCGTGCAGCGCGCTGGCGGTGCCCCAGAGCAGCCCAGGGCGTGGATGGTGAGAAGGGCAGGCAGGAGGACCAGCACCATTCCTCCTCCGGCCATCCCACCTGCTGCGCGCTGCCGCCCGCCACTTCCCCGCTTGGCCACTCACAGTGCTCTTTGGAAGGATGACTTCTGTCACGCGAGGAAAACACTTTCAGGCATTCAATGGGCTTTGTGCTAGCCTCAAAAGTTCCAAGGCCACGCTCCCTGCAACGCGCCGTCCTGGGCCGGGAGGCGGCTCAGAGGCACGAGCACCTGCCGGGCAAGGACTCCTCCTTCTCCTTTGGGAGGACCGCTTTCATCGTCTGCATCATACTTGTTTCCCAGTGACATTCTTTGTCTGTCTGCACTACTGTGCTCATCTCGGGCCACTGGCTGGAGTGTCGAAAACCTTTGCGACGGTGATGTGCTGGGCTGGCTTGGTCCCCACTGCTTCTGTGCAGTAGGAAGTTGTGCCCATGTGAAATCACTCATGACTTGTCGTGCCCCGGATCCGTAGCCCTAATCTTCCTTGTAATTCGTCGGCGGAAACAAAGACGTCATGCAAGGGATGGAAGAACTGAAGCGGAACACGCTGACTAACAGCCTGATGAGAAGAGTGTGGCTCTTCTTCCCACTGGGAGAAGCGGAGCGGCTCAGTCTTTCCTGGGGGGGTCCCAAGGCAGCAGTCCCTAGCACAGTGGCTAACTCCTCACCCGGGCAGTTCAGGGCAGGAGGCCCTGAGACCACCTGATGGGGCGTAGACTGACTCCTGCACGTATGGAGACAGCCTCGGCAGTGGAACGAGGGCGCTCGCGGGCCCAGGACAGCCTGTCCCTCCTGAGCAGGTGCTCCGCCAGGAGAGCAGCAAATGGGGACTTCAAGAAGGACCCCAGGAGTCGGGGAGATGGCTCAGCAGAATAAGTGCTTCCCTGGCAAGCGCCAGGGCCTGAGTTCAATCCCCAGTTCTGCAAAAAAAAAAAAAAAAAAGTGCTTCCCTGGCAAGAAGGACCCCAGCTATGTGGCCCTAGGCCAGTGCCGAGCTACCCGTTCCCCTCCCTTGCCCCAGGCCCTTGCACTTGCACCTCCTGCTCCATGAAAACATCTCCTCCGCCTTGACACAGCTCACACTCACTTTCTGCAGGACTCTACCCAAGGCAGCTGCCCAGAGAAGCTTTCTCAAAACTACCGTCTCTGCCATTTGTCCACTAATCCTTCGACCCCTTGTGACTAATCGCACACTGACTTTTTGTGTCCGTATGTGCTCTTGCAATTCTGGGTGTTTCCACTCTTCTGCGGGAGGCACTGCAGAGAGACAGGCAGGGAAGGGGTTCTTCCTGCCACTTTCAAGCATCCCTGTGCCTTGCCAGGTTCAATGGCAGAGCTCAGTGACAGTTTCCCAGGATGAACCCAAGTGCACTTTCTAAGCAGAGATCAGGATCAACGCTCCCTCCAGTTGCTTGCTTGACTCTTGTGCAGATTCCAAATTTTACTCAGCTGGTTGGTTGGCTGCTGTGATAAAGGAAGAGAAACCCAGAGCGTGGGGCTTTCTCAGTCCTGCGGCACAGCCCTCTGGGAATCGCTTCCAGGAGCTGCCGCCCCCCTTCGAAGCGCTCCCTCCCGCATTCAGACCCCGTGGCCACTCCTCCCCTCCCACTTGCGTTTGCGGGACCCCAAGTGCCCTGCACTCCTGCTCCTCGCACTGCCTCACTGCCTACACGCAGCCCCACCCCCTCGTCGGTGAACGCTTGCTCTGCTGACTTCATTCGCCATTCGCTCACTTCAGTCCTCCTCCACACCCAAGGAAAGTGGGGCCTGGTGGCACATGCCTGTAATGCCAGTGCGCTGGAGAATGACTCCGGAGGGTCTTTGCGATTGAAGGGCCAGTCTGATCTACAAAGCGACTTCAAGTTCTGCCTGAACTGCACAATGAGACCCTGGTCCAGAAAGACAAACAAAACCAAAAAGCCAAACCAATGGCAAATTTCCCCTCCCGCACTGATGCCCAAGGACATCGGCAGTGCACTGTGGTCACTGCCCGTCGCTGCCTTCCATGTTGCAGCCAACCAGCTGCATTCCTGAGCCTCCTGTGGAACCCAACAACGAACAGCCCGCCCCTCAATTTCCACACTGACACTGCGGACTTCAGGCCAAAGGCTGACTTTCTGTCTGCCCTAATCCAATAGGTTGCGTTGCGCACGCACACTGACTTGTCCTAAAGCACTCGTCCACCCCTCATTGACTGTGATTCCTTCCTTCCCGCTCTCAGCCGAGTGGACTCAGTTCCCTTCGCGCGGCCTCTGCTAGCTCTATTAAGCTCCACCCCAACGGCCGAGGACTTCTGTCCAATCACCGACGTCCTCCCCACCTCGCAGCCAATGAACTTTTTACTCCGCCCACTACTTAGAACCTCCCCTCAGCCTCTCCCTGAGGGACCTCCTCACTTGCTTCCCCGATTCCTCCCAGCAGAGGGACTCACAGACGTCTTGCCCTTCCCACTGCCTCAGACACCTACCCTCCGTACCCGGCCTCCCACTTTCGCCTTCGCCAACCTCCTTCCCTCGCGCTAGATTCACCATGTCCGACGTTCCTTCCACCAGCCATCAGCCCGACCTCAACAGCGGTGTCCGTGACTCTAACACGAGGAGCAGCATGGGGCCACAGCAAGTAGGTGACAGCGGCAGGGGAGACGCCTCCCTGGGCCAGGCCCAGGCAGCCTCCGGGAGCAGGTCACCCCACACCTTGCTACCCCAAGAGCACAAGGAGCGGGCAGAGCGTCGCTCCCTGGTGCGCTACCTGCAGTGCCGCTCCGTGGGCGCACCAGGCCGCTTCCGTCTCCAGGGCGTTGAGCACCAGCTGCACAGCAGGGCAGTATCGATGCTGCCCGAGCTGCTGACTGAACGCAGGCTGGGCCTGGGCACTGTGGACAAGGTGTTCGCGTCGCAATGGCTGGATGCGAGCCAAGTGGTGTGTGGCACCAAGTGCAGCACGCTCTTCGTGCTGAACGTGAAAACGGGCCACATCATGCCTATTCCCCTGATGCAGGACAGGAGGGTCAGAAGGGCCCATGCTCTTCCTCCCTCTGGCATCTGCGCCATTGAGCTGAATCCCTCCGAGACGCTGCTGGCCACTGGGGGGGAAAACTCCAGCAGCCTCGCCGTCTACCAGCTGCCCGAACTGGACCCCTTGTGCCTGGGTGACCGCCGTAGCCACAGGGACGCGATCACCTCCATCGCATGGATTGGTGACAACGTGGCCGTGAGTGGCTCTTGGGATGGGACCTTGGCAGTATGGGAAGTGGATCCTGACAGGATGTCTAGCAGCCATGCGGGGCGCAGCGAGCAAAGGCTTCCCGTGTACGCTCACATCAGTCCAAGGGCTCTAGAGGTCTTCCCTGCAGGCAGTCATTACCCTGGTCACACCAGAGTGCGAGCGCTGGTTTTCAATAGGAAGAGGCAGGAACTGGGAGCGCTGTCCCTGAGTGGCTGCTTCCAACTCTGGAAAGCCCAGGGCACCCTGACCAGGCTGAAATTTCATAGGCTGCCCTTTGATGAAGCAAGCACGTGCATGACGTACTGTGACGACTTTTCCCTGTATGCCGTGGGCTTCCAGTCACATATCTCTTTATTGGATCTGCGGCAAGGCAACCCTAGTATTGGGATGCAGCCTATGTGCTACCTCCAGTGTGGCATTGACGTGCGCTCCATGAGTGCCCACCAGCATATAATTACCATGGGCACAGGCCACGGCAGGCTGTTCTTCTTCGACATCCGCACACGGAGGTTCCTGGAAGAGAGGTCTGTGAACAGCCCAGACGCCTTCCCTGAGCCCTCGGGCAGGAAGCTCAGGCTCACTTGTACCAAAGGCTGGATCAACCAAGATGACCTCTGGGCCAATGGTTTCCGTGGCAACGAGGATCCGCCTTATGCCGTTTACACCCACTGCTACAACTGGCCTGAGATGAAGCTCTTCGTGGGAGGAGGGCCTCTCCCCTTAGAACTGCGTGGGAACTACGCAGGCATCTGGACCTAAGCACCGCTGCCTCCTTCTCAAAGTACGCGGATGCCTTTCTCACTTCAGTCTACCCTTCCTTCTCAGACGGCCTCCGTGATTGTGTCTTTGTCTTTTGTCTTCCAGGCGGAACACACTCAGCGTTGAGTGGGCTGCTGAGAGATGAAGACCCTTGCTCAAGGACAAGTTGAGTCGTACTCTGTGTTCTCCTTCCTACCTAAGGCAGTCTGTAAGACTTTCCAGGGAAATAACGTAGGGCTTTTCTTCATTGCACTTTATACATGTTAGTTTTCTTTGCTTCAGTACGTGTGTGTAGTACCTAATGAATATGATCGTGGAGAGGAGTTGGTACAGGTCGCTGATGTATTGAGTTGTCCAGAGAATTTAATAAAATTGTTACTAATGTGTTGTCCTGACTGACTCACACCAGGAGATACGGTCATTGAAATCCAGCTGTATTCCTTTTCATTTATGCTTCTTATTACTATTATGACAGAATAGTTTTTTGTTATTTGTTCATTAATATGTTGTGACATGCAGTACACATTCCTTCCTTTGCAAGAAATATTCTTAATTTTGAACATTTTCTAACAGGGTTTGGACATCTGTTCTGGAAAGTTACCTACAGTATTCCCTCTGAGTTTATAATTTCTTAGCAATTCAAAAATAAATTCCAATTCTATACTACTTTTAGAAAATTTCACTTTTAGTTGTGATTACAGTGTACATTGTCTGTATATTCCTGGGACTAAAATGGTTATGGGTTTTTATTTCTTTTCTGGTCACTTTGATAGAAGTCTATTCTCTCGGGGAAATGATCATGAGAGAGTCTTGTGTTCATATGTGAATTCCACTTGTGAGAATGTTTTTGAAAAACACGAAGGTTTTGCTGACTTGAATGTTGTCAAATAATCTGGAAAACCAGTCTTTCTGCTTGCAAACCCAATTGCAATTTCAGCTTTTGGTATTTGGTAGTAGGATTTGAACTCAGAGCCTTGCACTCACCAGGCAGGGGCTGAACTGCACAGCTCTATAGCTGATCATGAGCTGAGCTTCAGGTCACCCATGCTTTAGTAGATGAACGCACGTGTATTCTTGGTACTTGCGTGTGCTCGGCATAAGACACTTCAGTGTGTGGGAACTGTTGAGACTTGCACGGCTTCGACAGAACTTAATGCCCTCCTTCAAAGCGAGGGTATCCATGTGAACATGTCACATGTGGGGAAGAACGCATACTGATCATTTCTGTAGACTGGATATACGCTCCCTGGTAAGTTTAATATCACATGTTGTATTAGAGAATAGTAAAGTTTCCAATTTTGTTGGTAAGTAATGATATAAGAAAATAAAAAGGGAGGATGCAAAATGAACCCATCTGGAACATTGTAAAAACAACAACAACAACAACAACAACCCTGCCAACTATGCTATGGAGAGGGTCCTGCTGCTGTTGCTTGCTGCTTCAGCATGTTCCTGCGTCCTGCCTGCCACGCCATGAGCTCCTTCTCCACCGTGGTGCCGCACTGTAATGCTGCCCTCCCTGGGACCAGGCACCTGTGAATGGAAACCTGTACATACTGTGAGCTTAAGAAATCTTTCTTTGTTTAGCTTTGGGGCTTGGGTATTTTGTCTCCACAATGACAAAATTAACTAAGACACTTAAGTTTGCAGACCAAAAATTAGAGAAAAAGGAGGGCCACAAGGAAAGCCAACACTTTGGCCCTAGTCTTCCAAGGTCAATTAAGACAGGACATATGAGAACTTGTACTGTAACGTCATGTAACTCGGTAGTGTCCCAAATTTTCTGATCAAGGAGATTATGGGGCCACAGAGGAAAGTGATTGATGATGTAGAGTGTGCCTAAGGAGAGTCACATGGAGAGAAAACATTCTCTCAGGCTGTCACAGAGAGCACATTGGCCAAGCAATGGCCGTGACTCATCCACATGACTGACACTCACAAAGGTTCTACAATCTGAGGTACAGGATCTCAGGATAAATCCTGAGGCGATTTCACTGACCTTGTCAGATACAGAAGTTTCATTTCTTGTTATATAGGTCTTGCTTTATCTTGGTCTTAACCATCCAGCTGAAAAGTATAAAGAGGAGGTATAAAAAGTAAAGCCATAGTAATATGTTGAGCTGTAAAAGGCTCAAGTCAACAACTTCTGACATTGCCAGTCCTACAGAAAACGCACTGCTATTCTGGACTACTAGACTATATTGGATTATTTTGCTGAATTCATGCACCTACAATATTTAAATGGCAAGGGAATACCCATCTCTGACAAAACTAAACAAAAAAAGGGGATACAAATGAAGGACCATTTGGTATCTGTATATACTGTAGATATAGATATAGATATAGATATACAGCTGCTTTCTCTTGATTCAATGAGAAGAAAGATTTATACTAATAGTGTTTGTGCAGGATATCATATGTTCATCTTGTACTATGAATAACCACTACAAAGACAACAATATACTAATTATTGAAACTGTCCTACTAATCGGTTTTGAAACTGTCTCATTGGTATTTGCTTCTCAATAAAATTAATTTTAAAAAAGACACAGTTGAGAGAGCAAATCCTCATTACAAGTGTGAGTACCTGACAGTAATTTTACAATCAGTATTGTACTGCAGGACAACTTCACTTAACTAATCATATCAGCTTTCTCTTGCCATCTAGTCTGTTTCTCAGATGTGAATATATAGCCAAGGGGAAGGGGCATTGATATCTCTTACTGAACTTGTCAGAAATGAAGCTGTACTAAAATCATCCTAAAATTTCTTTCATCTAGGTTGATCTTGTCTTATTCCAGTCTTAAATTTATTCAGAATGATTGTAATTAGGATAAACGTAAGAGACGTAAAAGGGAACAGGCAAGGAATTTTCTAGCTCTTTCATTCCATATGTATATGTGTAAATACTAGAAAAATGTAAGAAAAAATAGTGGTTTTTCTTTTTCAAAGGTGTCTTTATACTCAGTGGCAAATGAAATGCTAAATCACAAACACATAATTAACTGCGTAACGTTATTGAATAATTTTCTTAAGTATTTGTAGCATAAGCGACTCACAGGACACTTCTTTTTGCTTATATCACGCAGTACAGTGTGTTGAGCAATAAATGCCTAATATTTTAAAGCTCATTTTCAGACTTTTTTTAAAATTTTTTTTATTTTTATTTATTTGAGAGAGAGAGAGAGAGAGAGAGAGAGAGAGAGAGAGAGAGAGAGGTGTGTGTGTGTGTGTGTGTGTGTGTGTGTGTGTGGCCAGCTCAGCCCACCAGGGGGCGGGGCTGGCTGGCATGTGGTGCTGGGGATTGAACCGAGGTCCCTGTGCTTTTGCTTAGCTTGTTCTAAGTAGGTGCTTTAGACCACTGAGCCATCTCTCCAGCCCCATCATTTTCAGACTTTTAAGTAGAAATGTAATATTTCACTCTGAACCCTGGGTTCTGAGGCACAGCTCACTTTTAATTATAAATGAGAAACATGACACCACTCTGTAATGAATGGAATCACCAAGATGACTTTTTCTTTCTTTTTTTCCTGTATTTTAGGGAAGGGTCTACAGGGTGTTCAGGGTCTCACTACTAGGTCGGACTCGTAGTGATCCGCCTGTTTTCAGCCTCCCAAGAACTGGGATTACAGGTGCGGGCCACCATACCCAATCTCAGTTGCCCTCTCAGTGCCCACCCTCCGGGCTGGGGCCTGCACAGCAGGCCCGGGGATCGAACCTCTGGCCCCTGTGCCTGCCTGCTTGCTTGCTGAGCTATTTGGCTGGCCCTAGATGGCTTTTTTTGAGACAGGGTCTTGCTACATAGTTGAGGCTGGCTTCAAACTCACAGAGATCCTCCGGCCTCAGCCTCCTCAGTGCTGGGATTGCGGGGGGCACCACCACACCCAGCATCCAAAGGCGATGCCAAGTTCAAGGCCATCCTAGACAATTTAATGAGTCTACTTAGTATCTCAAATTAAAACATGAAAAGTAATGAGGATGTGGCTCAGTGGCAGAGTGCACTTGGGTTCTGTTTCCAGTAACAGAAGACAATTTCTTCTTTGAATCTGGCCAGGACTGTTCAGGATGGGTGGCAGCCCTGACCCAGGTGCTTGGCGACAGGCAGGCCCAGGCCACCATCCCATGGAAGTGTCTGACCACTCAACAGCAGTCAGGAGAGCTTCTGTCTGCCTTTGTGTTGTGGCTGGAAGTCATGCTGCAGAAAGTTCTCACCCAGGGGCCCTGCTTAGGGCCTCTGCCTTCCACACGGGCCTGAGGCAGGCGCTGACCAGGGCCACCCTAGCTGAGCCTCCAGCCAAGCCGTGAGAGCAGCGGGTTGTCTGCTGGCCTCCGATTTCTGTGGAGAGGCTGGCGCTCCATTTGGTGTCTGAGGCTCTGGAGGCCGATCGAGCCAAGAATAGGAGATCCCTGGTGGAGCACAGGGCCAGAGCCCGTGCTGACACCAGAGTCCATGCTAAGGCAGAGGCTGAGAATGTGGAGGCCCAGGAGGTGCAGGGGGAGGAGGAGGAGCAAGAGCAGCAGGAGGAGGAAGAGCAGCAGGAGGAGGAAGAGCAGCAGCAGCAGCCGAAGCAGGAGAAGCAGTGGTGGTGCCCCATGGCTTCGGGGCTGCTGCTGAAGGCCTGGGCCGGGCAGGGCCCTCTGACACTGCAGGGGCTGCCCCTCAGCTCAGATGGGCACTGTTTCTGCCTGGGCCACGAGGGTCTGAGTGTGGGCTGGAGAGCCTCAGCTAGCAGGAGAGGAGGAGGCTGAGTGGTCATGGGGGGCAGGCTCAAGCCTGTCCCAGAGGACTGTGGAATCCAAGATGGGGCTGGGTTGATCACCACAGCAAGGAGAATCATCTCCCAAGGCCCAGAGGCCACCTATCTGCTCAGGGGCCAGCACTGGGGCTCAGCGGGAGGCGAGGCCAGGGCCCCTACATGCCTGTGCACCTGAAGCCAGATCCAGGGAGGAGCCTGGTAATCCCCACCAAACTCCCGCATCTTTCCACTCCCCAGGGGGCT